TATTGCAGAGCCATACAGCAGTGGGGAAGGAAAGGCACAGACAGACAAGAAGATGAAGAAGAGCCCAGGCTGAGCTGTATGGGGCAAAAAACTGGGAACGTTTCAAAAAAAGAGCACAAAGCCACCAATGCTTTGGGATGCTAGCTGGAAAGTACCAAATAATGGAACTGAACTCAACAATACCTTTTCAACAGCTACCATTCAGGGCTGACATAACAGCAGGGTCACAACATCCAGCTGCATCCAGTTGAAATGGAGAGCCTCACTGAAGCAAGCCCTATCCAGCTGAGAGAGAAACCTTGAGCTTTAGCTGTTCAGGACACAGACAGGCCAAATGCAGTTCTACTGTGTGCGTTTAAAATCAGGTCAGTTATTTAGGTTCTTAATCGTGGGCTCAGAAGACTAATTTAGGCACTTCCTAAAATCTTGGTGTAGGTGACTGCTGTGCACATCTCCATGCTGAACTTCAAGGACAAGGCACAATTTCCAAAGCTCAGCTTCTCCGGAGATCTGTGTAAATCTGTTCTTAGCCCCCAGAAACTGAAGAGAAACCACAGCTGCCATTCAGGAATACTACTTTACATGTATGTATACTGCAGAACAAGCCTGACATCCCAGCTACTGCTGTGTCCTGACAGAGAGCACAGCATGATTTCTGGTCCCAAAAGCAAGTTGAACCAGGCCAGAAGGAAAGACAGGCGATATCTGTGAAACATGTGATGCTCACCTCAAAACCAGGCCAGAACATCTGCACCTGACTATACTAAAGCCACCTCAGAAAGTATGCCAGAGTCCCCATAAAGCCAGGATATGTAATTCTTCCTTAAGGACACTTTCTGGTCTTGTGGCTTGACTACATGTAATCCATGAAACGCCTTGATTACAACTTTAATCTGATTTTAATTATGTAGCCCATGCCCTTGGGCTGCATGGGCCCATGAAAGAATTACAGCACACACATAAACGTGAAGCAAGGTAGGGGAATGCTATCGAGACAGATGACAAATACTAAGTGCTGTCCTGAGTTGGTTCAACTGTTGGAAATAAACAAGAATAAGCGTCCTATGAAGAACTGAGCCACAGCAGCATGAGAACTAAACCAAAGCCCAGACTTCAACCACTGAAACCCATGAACTTCAGTCTTTGGAAACTGAATACTACAACATTATCCCTATTAAGGAAGAACAGATACAATGACAGGGGCAGAGCTCAAAAGCACGACATGTTTAAAGACAAGAAAAGAACAACTACTTTGGACAGTGATGTTTAAGATATATTTCCTATATGACAGGTGTTTGTAGCCCTTACAGCAGCTCCATGAGGAGGCAGAAAAGAAAACAGATAAGTAAAGACTATAACTTTGGTTCCAACACAAGTTAACGAGATTGGAAGGCACTCCCTGCAGAAGCAGCTGCTACTCACCATGAAGACTCTCTGAAATGTGATGGCTTCTGAGCACCCAGAGCTCTCCCTGCTAAGATCTACCTGGCTACCAAAGTTTGGGATATGTCCACACTGAGATTCTCTGGAATTCAGAGCTTCAGACTGGTCCAATTCTGCCACTGCAAGCCATTTCCACTCTACAGAATCCTAATAATGAAAAACTCATCACTTATTGAATATCGTAACTACGTGCTCTTTGGTTTGCCCTGAAGCAGTAAGTACTTTCAAATTGTGAGCTAGAATCTGTAATTCAGTAGATACTAAGGGAGATCATGTAAATCTTTAACAAGAAATACATTCTACTCTTTCCAGACTAGAAAAATAAACCAGAAGTAAATAAATCCAGCACGACAGGAGAGATCCTCCCTCCTGCTGGATGAGGCAGTGGAACACCACCAACCCTAAGTGCCCCAGTTTCCATTCTCAGTTGCCTATATTCTTTGCAGAACACAAACACTGTGACTGGTAGCTATCTATATTGGCTCCCTGCTTCAACTTACTTTTCTTCAGTTAATGAAACTACTTACCTGCTTCAAAAGTGTTAACCAAGAACTTTATGTTAGCCCACACAAAAAGGAGTTATTCATTGAAATTAATTGCCACATCTTTGCACAGCAATTTGTGTAAGAATAGACAGAGTCAGGTGTGCCTTTACTATCCTGCATAAAGCTTGTATGAAATATTATGATTTGCACACGTACAATAGAGGCGTACAGAAAAATAAGGAGCTCCCTTCAAGAGCACGAGTGTCCAAACACAAACTCTGGTTTACTTGTGAAGTACTTCAGGAAATTATAGTAAAAGAACATTCAGATTGAAGAAAAAAGGAAAAAAAAAAAAAAAGATTGGAATTGTTAGGAAGAAACAGGGCCCCAGTCTCCCAAGATGATCTCTTACTGCTAGGTGTGAAAACTCCACCTTGGATCACATCCCAGCGCAATGGACTGTGCTTCAAACCTGGGTCAGGTCAGCAGCAGCACGGTGCAGAAAGCTGCTTGGCTGTGAGCCCCTGCCCTGCCTGCAGCAGAGCCAGAAAGCAATAGAGCTGAAGAGGCCCTTCACAGGTACAGTCCTTCTCTCCACACGGTATTTCTTTAGGACCTGTTCTGCAACAGCACTCAAGCAACTGAATCTAAGCACTAAGCCACATTTCTCCCAGCTGTTTCATCTACAGGTTCCAGTGGTAGAAACCATTCAAATTTATCACCAAATGTAACGTAAGTTGTTGAGCTTGTTGAGTTGTTTGATACTGTCGTATCCAAATGCTAAGAAAAGCAAACTAGCTTTCAAATTTCAAGCTGGATATCCAGAAGGCACTGAGCGTGAAGCTCAGAGGGCTGGAGCACCTCTCCTGCAATGACAGGCTGATGGAGCTGGGGGTGCTCAGCCTGGAGAAGAAAACGCTCCAGGGACACCTCATAAAGGCCTTTGTGAAGGGAGATTATAAACAGGAGATAAACCAACTTTTTGCACAGGTAGATAGCGATAGGAAAAGGGGCAATAGCTTTAAACTAAAGGAAGGTGGATTTAAATTAGATGTCAGAGGAAGTTTTCCCTCAGAGGGCGGTGAGGCACTGGCACTGCTGCCCAGAGCTGCGGGTGCCCCATCCTGAGAGGTGCTCAGGGCCACAGATGAGGTCCATGGCAGCATAACCTGGTGCCTGATGTAGCATCAGCAACCCCGCCAAGGCAGAAGGCTCGGATCTGGATCATTTTGCGGGGTCACTTCCAACCCAACCATGCTGTGATTCCATTTGCTGGTTTGATCTAACTCACACTGCTATGATACAGATCACCATCTTGTCTCATAGAGATGCTCGATACCGCCTAGACCCAGCTCAAATGTTATTTTATTCGAGATTTAGACAGCTTTACGATTTAAACGAAAACTGAGAAGCGCGTTGTCCTTGCAGCGGCTCATCGAGCGCTGCCATCCAGCACGCACAGCCAGGATCCGCAGCCGGATGACGGTGCAATCGGGGCCCGCAGCCACGCACACGCGTGCGGGGAACTCGCACCAAAAGCTGCCATCGCCTTTCAGCCCCGCCGTGCCCATCCACCCCCGAGCAGCGCAGCGGGGCCCGGCCAAGCAGCGGTGAGGCCCATCCCGGCCGTGCCGCGGGCAGAGCGCTGTGTAACCGCGACCGGCTCGGCCAAAGCCGCGTCGCAGCCCCTGCAGCCCATCGCTCTGCCCGGCTTCCCGCGCTGCCTCCATCCCGGCCCGGCCGCCCCGTCGCCGCTCAGAAGAGACGCAGCTCGACTTCAGCTCGGCCCCACGCAACGCCGCCCCGCCCCGAGCCGCCCCCAGCGCCGAGCCGGGCCTCCTCCGCTCCAGACCCCCGAACCCGACGCTGCCCCGCGGCCCGGCGGCTCCGTCTCCCCGCCCGTGAGGCTCCGCAGCCCGGCGGTTCGCCCCGCCCCGCCGCCTCTCCCCCGAACCCAGTCGCGCGGCCGCTCTCCTCGGCGGCTCACAGCGCCGCAGAACCGCGCGGCCGCGGCCCGCTCACCAGCTGGGGCATTCGAAGAGCGAGAGGCCGCCGCCGCCTCCGGCCGAGTTCGCGTTCGCCGCCATCTTGTATCTGCCCCATTCAGGCGGGCCGGGGGCAGCCGGGAGGGGCGGCGGGAGGAGCGGCGGAGGCGTCCCGGCGTGCACCGCGCCGGGCGGGGGCGGGGCCGAGCAGCGCCATCGGCGCGACAGGCAGGCAGCGTAGTGCCGCTCCGGAAGGCGCGAGCGGTGCTCAACGTTCCCGTAGAGCGAAAAGGACGCGGTGCTTTGGAGCGCCACGGAGGCGGTCAGAGGGTGGAGCACCTCCGTGTGATGACAGTCGAGGTCTCTGCTGCCCGGAGAAAGATCGAGGGGACCTGAAAGCCCTTCCAGGACCTGAAGGAAACCGGGCAGGGACTTTTCATGAGGGCGACAGGACGTGATTTTAAACTGGAAGAAGGTAGATTGAGACTAGATGTCAAGATTAAAGGGGGCTGCAGCACCTCCCCTACGAAGACAGGCTGGGGGAGCTGGGCTTGTTCAGCCTGGAGAAAAAAAGGCTGCGGGGTGACCTCAGTGCCTTTCAGTACCTAAAGGGAGCCTAAAACAGGAGGGGAGTCAACTCTTGGAAAGGGGAGATAACAGCAGGACAAGGGGAAATGGTTTGAAGTTGAGGGAGGGAAGATTTGAGGTTGGATGTCGGGGGAGGTTCTGTGCTACGAGAGTGGTGAGGGGCTGGAACAGCTGCCCAGAGAGGCTGTGATGCCCCGTCCATCCCTGGAGGTGTTCAAGGCCAGGTTGGATGGGGCCCTGGGCAGGTATTAAATGTGGAGGTTGGTGGCCCTGCATGTGGCAGGGGGGTGGAGATTCGTGGTCCTTGAGGTCCCTTCCAACTCTGGCCATTCTGTGATTAAATTACTTACTGTGAGGGTGTTTCATGCTGAAGAATCACAGACTGCAGTGATAAATTGGAAGAGACGCTGCTGATGCTTCTATAAAGCAGACTTACAGAGGAATCTGCAATCACACTTCTGGCACCATTTAAGCTGCATGAGAAAGAAGCTCTGGCAAAGGCTTTTAAAAGTGTTTATTGACAGTTATTGGAATGATGGCGCAGTAGTGCAAACCAATGTGCAATTGGGAGAACACCCTCCCTTCCCAGCTTTCACATTTACTTTATTACACAGGAGACATGGAAGAAGGATTAAATACAAAATGGGTCAGTACGATGCATTTACCACACTATGATGGGCTTGAGACAGGTTACTGATCCCTCAGTGGATGTCAGTTTAGAGCTACAACAAAGCAGGGAGTGACTGCTACGTCCTGACCAGCTCTGCTAGCAAGACAGCTAGAAGCAGCAATCCTTAATTTGCACACACATCCTCAGTCTCAAAACCTTTGCACTTTGCTCAGCCAATTTCTGCACTTTGTTTCATAAAGAATGGAAAAATAACAGACATTCACAAGCCACACAATATTTACTGATACATTACAAGAAGCTTCAAGAGTCCTTCAAAGCAGGATTTCTCATAATACACATCTGTCTTGTTTACCTGTAAGCTTAGGTACCTGCTTCCTCGTCTTTGCACCATTTTCTCCACGAAAAATCAATTAGGAGCAAGAAACTCAACTTGTATTTTAGTGCTTTGAGAGTCAGCATTGAAAGAGATTTATTTGTCCAATAGTAAGCCATCAGCTAATTTCTTCAATGACATTGCACTGCTAGATAGGACGTCCTCAGACTTACAGTACTCAACTGGTGCATTAAAAAAACCACAACCCCAACCATGCACAAAAATTAATAAAAACAACGAGTCTCAAGGCTAAACTGACTGTTCCTAAGCACGCAGTTCTGATCATCATCCATGCATACTTCTTGCTTCTCAGATCTGCAGTGGCATTTTTCTCTTCAATTGAATTTAGAACCACAGCCACCCAGAGACCAATAAAACCATGGGGCAGATATCGGAGACTTGAGAAACTGCTGGATTAAGGTAATGAAAGTCAGTGTTGTGCCCTCTTTGAATGTCATTCTTATTCCAGTCCAAAGTTACCTGTACATATAAAAAGTCAAATTTCTGCCACTTGTCAAAATAAACAAGACATCTCCAGTTATTGATCACACTTCAGCATACAGTTGGGACAGGGAATAATGCATTACAGAAAGCAAAACCACAAGATGTTAGTTACATAAAACAATATAATTTGTATATAAACTGATAAATACTGTCTCCATGGTTCACTAATTCCAAATACTAGTTGTCTGCACATTAGTTGCTAATAACTATTACTAGAAGTAGTTCCAGCTTGTGCTCTCTCAGGGTGGTTTCATTTCCGAGACAAGTCTGCCTGTTCGTGCTGGGGGAAAAATATTCTCAGCAATGAGACAAGGTTCCACGTGAAGATCTCACTTTGCTGTCCACCAGATAATTAATCCTATGATTATAGAAGCCACAGCAAGGCCAAGAATCAGGATACAGATCTTCTTGCGGGATTTCTTCTGAAGAAGGAAGGAAAATAAAAAAGCCACTGATATCAAGAGCAGATGAGGAAGAAAGAGCAAGTTTGCCAGTTCATGTTACTGAATTTGGTGAGTCAGAGCACTCAATACCCATAATTATTCAAGGGAATTAACAAGTACCATTTATACAATTTCACGTTCCTTAAATAGCATAAGCCACAACTAAATGTTTTTAGTTTTAGGTCTAAGAAATGCAATTAAATCAGAATGTAACAAATTCTGCTACTCTTAAGGCAAATTCAAAATTGTACTTCAAGATTACTACGAACAGGGAAGTCGGCAACACCTAATATACATTTCCTGCTAAGGTCTGCCACCAAGGCTGCAAAGGAAAGCTAAACATCTCTAGCTATTGGGATCTTCCAGCTAAAACAAATGAAAATGCCATTCCTGTGACACAATCCCCCCATAGTCTGGTGCAGAGATAGTACTGCATTTCTACAGCTTAAATGATGCAGCATACAGTTACTGTACTTAGTTTTACAGCTTTGATCACTTTCTTCATCATAGGAAGCCACAGTGTCCACGTGCACTGAGTATTTTTAACTTCACATAATGCTCTGAGACTGGTTATGTATAATCACTTCCTTCTCTGTCTAGAAAAAAAACACATCTAATATGTGCCTAGTGTACCTGTCTTGGTACTCTGTTTTGGATGGATTTACTGCCATCTCAAAACATTTATAAATACTACGTGCTGCCAGGTGGCAAAAGCTACTTTCTTCTTGCAGTTAAACAGCACTGAGTGTAAAGCTTTTCAGCATCTCAACACTTAAAAGCACCCAATTTTTTTTTTAATCTTGTGTGGGAGCAGAAATCTTTTTCCTCACAGAACCTGAGCCAACAGTCACAACAACCACAGGTGGATGAGGTCAGAAGGCAGCTCTGGGTCTCTGTCCAACCACTGCTCAAGCAGGGACACCCACAGCACACTGCCAACAACCACATCCAGGCAACTCCTCCAAGGAGGAGAATCCACAGCCTCTCCAGGCCAACTGTTCCGGTGCTCTGTCACTTGCACAGCACAGAAGAGCTTCCTGATGCTCAAAAAGGACCTCGTGTTCCAGTCAGTGCCCAATGCCTCTCGCCCGTCACTGGGCAGACATTTCCACCAACAGGAATGTAAGGATGCTATGGAAACCATGGGCATCATCAAAATGATTTAAGCAGCAGTGAAAACCAATGCAGAAGAGGTGGCTGGACAAGGAAGTCAGATCACAGGTTGGAAACTGAGCAGTTAGAAAGGTGCTGCAAGTCTTGGTCATCACGAGTTCCCTTAGTTTGGGCAAGGATTTTATTTTTTTTTTAAGAACTTTTTTTTAAGCCAAGTTCTTACATGAAATCTTGGCTTAGCTGATATGTTTATAAGATGGCCACAACATGCCAAACTGCTGTTAGCAGAACTGTTCAGCTCTCCCCTGAGAACAAAGACAGCTAAACATTTAAACCTGCTGAGAATACCTAGATGGAGGAACAGACTGACTACACCACTGAATTAGAAGGCTAATTTCAACTGAATGTTCTCGAGTCAGTTGCTTTATTCCTTTCAGCACAATTCTGTGGGAGTGCCAACTTGCATGATCTGTTTTTAATGGCCTGTTTGGTGTGCTGCAGTCCTTAGCATCTCATTAGAGCTGTACCATTACTGGTACTCACCTGTACACTGACAATAATGCAAGCATACATAATTTACCTGATAATAGGCAGCTCTCTGTAACTGCTCACTGGCTCTTTCCACATGAACTTCTGCACTTTCCACATTTGCCTCTATGCTATCTATGGAAAAATAAGAGAACCTGTAAAATAATTCAGACTTTTGATGATTAAAAAAAAAAGAAATACAATAATTTTATTTTATTTTTTTTACAAAATATCAGAAAAATTGAACTACACAGGCAGAATGTGCAACTGAACTAGAAGAGAAGCTTCTTATTATCCAAACACTTACCAATCATATCTCCTTGGTCGTGAATCATCATGGCTAAATCCTTAAATATCTGATTGACATCCAAAATGTCGGCCTGAAGACAAGTTTGACAAGTTATACAAAACACTGGTTACAGCTTTTTTGCAGCCTAGTCCTTAGTGCCTCTTCAGAACATCACTCACAATAACTGAATAGGTACCATCACTCACTGACTCAGGTGACTTGATGTTGCTATTGATGGAACTTGGGATTAACATCAGAGCTTGCAATATTCTCACTGCTCGTTCTTTCTTTCACGTCACAAGCAATTAGCAGAGTAGGGAATCAAGATGAACCCTGTCACGAGTTGCTCCTACCATCTCTGAAGGCCCACCAGCAAACACTGAAGGAAAATGTACCTAGTCTCCTTAAACTGGAGCAGGGAGATTTATCTTGGCATCAATCCTTTCTACAAGGAACAGTTCTTTTACCTTCAGGTCTGCTCAGCCCATCCCATTAGATAGCACTGCATGAATTCTTTGGTTTATATCCTAATATTGTTAACTATATATTAATGTAAGTGCAGGATCTGTCTTCACCTCTAATTGCCTGATTGCCGTTTCTCTTTCTTTAATAAGCTCAAGATCCTGTTCAGTTATTGCCACATCATCTTCTTGAGACTGCATTTGATTCCAGTCTTCACCACTGTGAAGAGAAGGAAAGAAAGTAAAACATTGTTTCTTTCAGCACAGGAATATTTTCTCACTATGATTACACTGAATCACCAGGGTGTTAAAGTTGAAAGGATTCCTACAGAACAACACCAGCCTTGCAACTAACTGCAGACTTATGACAGCAGTTACAAGTGAGAACAATAATAGGGACAGACCAAGAAAAGTGGAGAAACTGAAAAGCAGTACATGCATAGGATAGTTTGTGCTAGGATGTGACCATTACCTATAGCATTATAGGACAGGCCTTATTTGAGGTTGCTTTTTTTAAGTTTGCTTTTTAAAGTGTCTGTACCTTCCTTTCCTCTCACCATCCCCCACAAAAAAGGGGGAATCAATCAGGGTGAAAGTCTTGATGGAGAGCAGCCTGCAAGCACAACATTATCAAATCAAAAGAACACCTGGCAAGCATCTTGGTGCTAAGATTCTCATTTGCTATCTGCCATTTGGGGATACGAAGAACCTTTAGTATTTTCATTCATTAATCTAGCAAGAACTGCAAATTAAGTCACACATCAAGAGGGATGCTTAGAAAACTCTCTGTATCACAGTGCACACCCACCGTGATGGCAGTACTTCATAACTGCCACATAAGTGGCACACACTGATTACAGTGAAGGCAGCACCGATAATACAAAGTCAGCTATGTGTCCAGCACAAAAGTCTTCTGGGGTAATATCTCCCTCTTCTTCTCGGAGCCAAGCGTATCTGAAAGCACTGCAATATACCCAACAGGCATGCTGTGACATAACTCCAACTTCCAAAGGCTCCAAGCGCAAAAAGAAATGACAATAAACTACTTGAGTAGATCAGATAGAGCAGAGACATTCAGGAATTCCGCTGAGTTGACAGCAGAATCTTCAGGTTTAAGGCACCAGTGTCTGACGTACAGCACATAAGGACAATTTCAAATATGGAGTAGTTGCTACTACATCTCTCTGAGACGAGGGCCTCTCCACAAGGAAGTATTGATGTGGCACCCCGTGCATTAGTGAGCAAGACTTCAAACTCATCACAGCATCTCTATAACTGAACAATTCAGCATGTGGAACCACAGGACTAACACCAAACAGCTGATCGGGGATGAGATGTCTAAGATGGGTGCCTTGATTTAGAGCCTTACAAGGTTTATACAGATAGGGCCAACGTATTTCATCCTCCATTTTTCAGGCACGCATAGTGGAAGCTGACACCGTAATCACCAACGCTTTTGCAGTGTCTTGAGTTCACTTGACTCACTGTAGAGCTGATGCAACATTCTGCAAACTCATCTGCTATGCAGGCACAAAGTCACTGCAGAATCTATATATGAGCCTGATATTTTATAGTGATGTTGACTAGGCTGTTCTGGTATCAATTGATTATTACCTCCAAGGTTTCTGAGTTTAGAGCAGTCTCATCCACTACTTTGTAACGGCTCCATCTGGGCTCATAGATAACACACAAACTCATGAAAGTAGTATGGAGTTGGTTTTTTTTTCGGAAATTGTTTTGTGACAGAAAACATGCCTGGTAATCTTGTGCTCACAGTCCAGAACATCAGGAGTTCCAGCTACCACACACTGGGGACTGAACTATTCCCACTGGGACAGTAATCAACTGCCTACATTTCAGCAGGCTCAAATACTGCCATGCACTTTTTTTTAAAACACTGTATATTACAAACACTGTACAAACTGCACAGCATCTTTCTGCTTTTCATTCAGCTGAAAGGGCCTTGCCCAAGCTACAGTATATCTACAATCATTTTAATTATGCATAGGTAAGAGTGTACCCCAAGAATGCAAGCAGCTGTTACCTATCAAATGAAACAAGCTGTTCTTCTCTGAACCGCTCATCAGCCTGGAATAAATAAATGAGGTGTTAATATTTCAGACTACCACAACTACTAGCAAACAAAATCAACAGGAATATCCTGAAGACAAAGGCATATGATGTCCAGAGAGTTCTTTGCCATTGTCTCTTCAACTTTCAGAAGTAAATCTGGTCTAAACTCCCTCAGGTTAATTTTAAATTCAGACTCTTTTTGCAAATCAAAGGCAACTGAAAGGCAAAGACAAGAGTCTCTTTATTCAGATCATCGGTGCATCAGCATATCAAGATGTGTGCCTACTAATTACAACATCTGGAACAGCAAAACGACCTACTGAGGCCTCATCTGTGCTCAGTGATGAACCAGTAGACAATCATGAAGTCAGTGGGCAAAGACAAGATCTCTGAAATGATTTGTAGTCCACTACATCACAACAGAATGCCTGCAAATACTTACAGAGATACGGGAGCCAGCTCTTGCCCTTGCTACAGTCTCTTTTTCCTTCTCTGACACTTGCCTCTGTACTGCCTGGAAGTTATTTAAGGCTGCAGAGAAATCATTCATTAAACGTTCTTTCTGAAGCCTCTGTTGACGCTAAGGAAAAAAAAAAAAAAAACAACAACAAAACAACAAGCATTCAGATACTGCCATTCACGTTACTGCAACCATCTCCAAAACAGCATAAAAAGAAAAGCAAATGCTAACATTTAAGTGATCCTTTGTTTCCAGCATTCTGGGGCAGAAACTGGAGAACAAAAAGCCCAAATGCTCTGTGCTCTACCTACTGTGGAACTGTGCTGTGCGTGTTTCCCTGGCACGTTCCCTTTGTGTTGTGACACCCCATGTATGGAAAACAAGAAGTTGGAAAAAAGACTTGACCCAAGCACAGTCAATACTACAGCTGATTCTTACACTTTCCACTGCAGAGATTACCAGTAGCCCTCTCAACCTGTAGGCTCTCTAGTACTTTCAAGAAGCTTGTAGCAATTCAGCAGATACGTCAAAGAAAAATAATACATACATTATCAATGAGATCTTGCTCCTACAGATTTCAACCGCACTGCTTCAGTGGGCTGCGTTCACTTACAGAAGTCAGTGCCACACTCAGCCATGTGACCAGACTTTGCTTAGAGTGAGATTAACTGAAAAATACTTTCTGAGCAAACACACAACACACCGCTGTACTTACAAGTGGTATTTAAACCTTTAGATAGAGATTGGATCTACTAAGACAACATCTGCTGACCCATATCCACAGATCATCCCATAACAGCATCACAAAAGCAGATAAGCCAGCACTGCAGCAGTGATTTGAAGTGGAGACAAAAGACTCCAACAGCACAGGAGCTTCCCTTCCCTCCCCTTCCCCACAGGAAGGGATGCCCTGAAAGACTGTTTTGCCAGAGACAAAGTCATAAGCATTGCCTCAGCAGATTTCTTTAGATGTGAGCAAGCTGAGTCAGCTCCTTCCCTCCCCCACATTCAGTTCAGGCCATAAATCCCACGGAAGGAAAAGTTTCTTGGTACAATCACACTTCATACTGACATTTAGCTTGCACTGAGTTTTTATCCAAAAAACGCGGTCTCACATCACCAGACTGCTCTGTAAACAAGATTATTTCTTCAGAAATAGAGTTCCATACTCAGGTCTCCTCAAGTTTTAGAGCTATTTGCTGCTGATAAACGTTTCCCCCCCCAGCATCACGCACTCAGGATGTAGCTGGCTTAATTTGCCTTCCCACTTCAACAACTGCCTTCGTTGCAGAAAGCTGCTGTCTCTTCAGCTGTGCCAATTAAAGCTCTGTGAAATTGCACTCTAAGCCAGCTTATCAAGTCAAAAAACTCTAGAAAATTGTACATGCATACCTGTTCAGAAGCAGACAGAGGAAGTGGTAGAGACCCCAGCTCTTTGAGATACTCATTGGTCTCTTTGGCCAAGCAGTTTGCAGAATGCTGTAGCTGTTGCCTAAAACAGTGGTGCAGAAACAGTGACACAAGTTTCTTCCAAAAAGCAACCTGAGCATTTCAACATTTACAATAATGACCAAGTAAGGTTTCCAAGCTCACACATCTTTAAGGATATTTTTCCCTAAGAGAACAGAAATGTACTCCACGTGTAGTGAGCGCAGTGCCAACCATCACAACTGATGTATTTATGTGACCAGCAGCTATTACGAAAACGAGGATGTCGCATATTCAGATTCAAGGTGCAGTCATGTGAAAGATTACAGAAAAACTCACTTCTGACATTTCTTACTCCAGAATTTATTCTCTCCATAACATTCTATTTCTGCTTTTCAAGCAGTTATAAGATGCACAGACTCCCTGTACAGTCTCTGTGGGACATATTATAGACTGTACTGTTAAAATGTTTTCTACACTGTCCTCCACTGGCTCGTTGTGAAGTTATACCTTGCATTTTGGCTGCCGGAGAGGATTACTCATCTTTCTAGCACCTCAAATTCTTCTGTATTAAAAGCTGTCTTTCCATCAAATACAGGCCTTCCTCACTGTTCTTCTGGATTGCCCTTACGCGAGGACAAAGTACCCAGTATGACATGCATGACTTTTAAACCACAAGAGAACTACTAGGGCTACTCCTCAGAACAGGTAACACGTGGCTAATATCATACTGCTCTTTTTAGGTTCTATATACCATTTCCTAGTCAATCTTACACTGCAGCTTTGAGTGGTTTCTCTGGAGTCCTGCAGGAACACCTTCATATGTTCACTAAACTACTTCACACATCTAGTAATGTTTGCTTTGTAAGACCATATTAAATTCATGCAGTAAAGCATTTCTCCAAAGTAACTCACTTCTTCTAAGAACAAAGGTAAAAATAAAAGAGCTTGAACAACTTTTACTCAGTGAACACTTACAAGTTTTCCTGCAGCTTGCTGGAGTCCTGCTTGGTTCCCAGCTGGCTCATCAAATTCTTTATCTGAGCAGCTGAAGATAAAGAGACCACAAGATTAGTAAGAGGAGTTTTAGTATATTTTACCCCTTCTTTAAGGGCTTCTCCAATGAAAGATCTCTCCATATTTTGTTTAACTCAAGCTGGTAACACAACACTTAGACTTTGCATTTAAACATCCCCATTTAGCCACGGTCTAGCTCACTAGATTAACTTTCAGACAGAAAGATGACAGATTCACCTTTGGGATGTGTAGGCTGCACTACGTACCTAAAAGCTTGCATGCTCCTCTTCCTCAATTTTCCTAAACCAATAATAATTTTTGTTCCTACCAACCACGCTGTTTCTGCATCTCAGACCATCACTGCCAGAACCACTTTATTTAAAAAACAAAACCAAATAATCTGTGTTTTGCTACTCCTGGTAGACAGAAGCTGTTGCAGTACTGGTAAAGTCTTTCAGGTACAGCAGCTAGAGCAGCATTAGCTTACATCAATCTTAATCAGATTGTAGCCAGAGAAGTTCTAGCCATTCCCTGTCTTCGTCCACAGTTCCTCTTGTGCAGGCACTGCTTATCATACAACCATCAAACCCTTAACACACCTGCAAAGCAGCCACCCCTTCCCCTCTGCCTCAGAAGGGGGAGGCAGAATGTTTGAGCAGCCCAGCATGCTGACCTGCTGTATCCTGCAGCTGCACGCTCCTTAGCATTAGTAAGAGATGCTGGGGGCACCAGTAGGACAAAACCTGATGGGCTCCTAGCAATCATGAAATCATGCCCTATTCCCTCAAGCAGCGAGGCAAGACATAGAAGCCTCAACTTAGCATCGTTCTAAAGGCAGCTGAGTGTCAGTGAAATAACAAGAGATACTTCCAGTTCAGTGAGATTCTACTGGTGCAATTCCTGCTTTTAGCCCGGAGCAAAACACTTCAGTTGATGAAATGTGTTGCTAAAGAAACACCAGATTCCAATGACAGACTTCTCTTCTAAAGTGAAGGGTAACTGCTTATAACAACAGCAATTGAGCCAGGGCTGCAGTATGATTCAATCAGTAATGAGGCAATAATTCTGACTTCTGCATACAGCATGATGCATTTCTGGTTTCTATTAGTCCATACAGCGAGGAGTTGTTTAACAACTTCTGATACAACAAGCTGAATGCTGCTTTTAGCAAGCAAGACTGCACTAATTTCACAGATCTATGAGCTACATGCAGGTCCAAAGAGTTCGCAGCCAAGTTAAACTGACAACACACAGGTCATACACCGTGTGGACATCAAGGACCAAGCAAGTGGAGTTTGTGCTACATCAAGATATTCTGTGCTATTTATTTTTCCCTCCTTTGAGGGTATATTCTTGTACAAGTCCCATTGCCGTGCCAGGCAATGTGTTTTCTGTTCTTGCCTTCACCAGTTCCCACAATTTTCCATGCTTAGCTTATTTCATCCAACAGTAATGCACAGAACCTACAGAAAATGGCAACAAAGCAACAGAGAGGCTGGAGCTCTTCCACTTCAATTTTTGGGCGCCAAGCACACACATCAATATAGAAAGTCCCTTCTGTTAGCAGCTTTCAGTCTACAAATCCTTTCAATTTTAGGCACAAAGCATTCCATGCTGTTATGCACTTCAGATTACTTACAACATTCTAACCTCCCTCTGGGTGTTTAGGTAAAACAACAGCCTTGCAGGCAGTAGCTTTGCCAGCTTGCTCCAGCAGCTTTCTGCACACTTGTGAGAAGTGCTACTTCTGCTGAGTTTCCTAAAACAAATGAATACAACCCATCTGTCCCCACTGTTTGCTTGCTGCTTTTTCCTATGGGGAAAAAGAGGAGAAAGGAGGAAGTGCTCAAGGTTTGTGTTTCTCTTCAGGCCTTTTATCAAATACAGAGTACAGCTAATTACTATAACGGTAAGTCAGCTGTTCTGTGTTCCCACCCACCTTGATAGAAGCTGTAAGGCATTTGTTTCATCTAAATTGGCAGCACACTGAGGTAGGGCAGCTGCCGGTCATGAGACCAAGCAATCTTGTGCTAAGAGGAAGAGGAGCTGCACTAATTAGAGGAGGAAGCTCAGAGAAAACACACGGAAGAGGCAAGGCAAACCAAAGCCACGTTTTCTGACAACTTCAGGAAGAATTTAACAGGCAGCCACACCAAGAGGAGGCAGAACAGCTTGAGGAATGCTTACAACTTGTGAGATCAAAGTGGAGCGGCAGAAAATCATTGAGGTTGGCAAAGACCCCTGAGATCACGCAGCCCAACCATCCAACTACCAGCAGTTCTGCCTGGTAGGCTGCACAGGGACGGTCAGCCACCCATCACAGTGCCCGAGCACTCCTGCAGAGAAGCTTTTCCTAATATCCAACCTGACAGACTCCACCAGCCGCATTCAGACGACCAGAGACACGGCAGCAAGATTCGGGTTCCACCTTTACAAAAGGCAGCATCTTCGCCAAGGGATCGATCACCCGACTGGAAACGATTCCCTCACACAGCGGCAGGGCTCAATACCCGGATTTCAACGACTACTTCACGACATTAACTACTTAATGACCGACATTAACTACTCTACGACATTAACTACTTTATGACACGAGCTGGAACAGGTCTGCAGCCGCCCCGCCCCGCCCCAGGCCCACCGAGGAGCCCCGGCCCGGTCCTCCGGCACTCACTGTACTGCGCGATGCGCTGCACGTTGCCGCTGCATGTCTGAATGATAGCACCGAAATCCCGCGGCGGGGCCGTCGGCCCGGCCCGGTAGGGATCCAGCGGCCCGTACGACATGACCGGGCGAGTGACGGCTGCTCCGGGCCCGGCTGCCAGCACCCCGCCGCTCACCGCGCATGCGCGACCGCTGCTGACGGAGCGTCCGCCCTAAGCCGATGGGACGCTGCCTGCGCATGCGCGGGCGTGGCCGGGCGCGGCCTCCGGTTGCTACGACGACGGGAGCGTCTCAGAAAGGCGTGAAGGCCGCAAGCTGTGTCGCAGCCCTGTGGCGTCGGCTGCGCTTTGACACTGGCACACGGCTCAGCACCACCACGCCGCTCCCAGGGAGGTTGTGGATGCCCCATCCCTGGTGGCATTCGAGGCCAGGCTGGATGTGGCTCTGGGCAGCCTGGTCTGCTGGTTGGTGACCCTGCGTGTAGCAGGGGGTTGAAATGAGATGAGCATTGTGGTGCTTTTCAACCCAGGCCATTCTGTGATTCTGATTCTAATTCTTGCTCGTCTTCTCAGCAGCGGCAGAGGGAGAAAATGACATGGAACAACTCTTAGGTTGAGATAGGATGGGGAGGTCACTCCCTGGTTACTGTCACAAGCAAAACAGGCTCAGTGTATGGAGGTTAATGTGATTTATTGCCTACTGCTAGCAGACCAGAGCAATGAGAACTAAAGGCAACACATACCCCCTCCCATCCGTGTTCTACCTCCCCCTCACCCAGCAGCACGGCACAATGGGGGCTGTGCTCAGCCCATATCACCCCATCTCTGCTGCTCCTTCCTCCTCACCATGTCCCTGTCCCAGCACAGGGTCCTTCCCACACAGTGCTGTCCTTCCCAAACTGTGTGAGCTTCCCACAGGCTACAGATCAAGCCCTGCTCTAACACAGCTCTGTATCACAGGGCCCGTTTTTCAGGGGCTGCTCCAGCATGAGGCCTGTAGGCAGCAGCTCCCCCAGCCCTCCTGCAGTCTTTGCCCTGGAGCCTGATCCTGTGGGACCTCTTTGCACTGTGGGCTCTTCCATGGCTGCACGTGGAGATCTGCTCCGCATGGTGCCCCTGGGCTGCAGAGGGACAGTTTAGAATTAAGCTTTATCCTTAATCTTTCAATTATTGTTATGCAGCCAAAGACAATCACAGAATCAAAGGGTGCTTGAGGTCAGTCAGAAGGGACATCAGGGTCCCTCTGGTCCAACCCCTGCTCGAGCAGAGACATTGGATCTGCTTGTCCAGGACCACATCCACGTGGCTTTTAAAGATCTCCATGGAGGAGGTTTCCCACGTTTTCAGACAGCCGGTTCCAGGGCAGAAATACACAATAAAAATAATGGCATCCTGATGTTCAGACAGGATCCTGCTATGTACCGGTTTGTGCCCCTTGCCTCTTGTCCTGGCACTGGGCACCACAAGCAAGAACCTGGCTCCATCGTCTTCACCTTCCCTCCAGGCATTTATGGTCATTAATAAGATCTCCCTGCTCCTCCACTTCTCCAGGCTGAGCAGCCCCAGCTCTCTCACCCTCTCCTCATGACAATGCCCGCATAAAATGTCCCAAAACACATTAAAATAGAGAAATGTTTAGAGAGGAGACATTGCTTTATTCTGCATGCAGCATAAGGAGAGAAATCCCTGCAAATCATGCTCACCAAGTCTTCACACTGGTTTCTCCTTATAGTCATACCTACCTATTATATATTCATAAAATTATACAAGTACACAATTATGTATTTTAATCTTCTGTATTTGGACAAGAGTCTTTGGTGATTGTTTGGAGAGGTGTCCCATTACTCACCTTGTCCATATTTGGGCACAGGATTTTTTAAGGACACCTAATCAGTCTCTTCTCATTGGTTTCTGTCTTGAATTTGTGCTCTTTCCCCACATTATTATAACCAGAGGTTCTGCTGGGGACTTTTTGGAGGCCACCCCCAGTTCCCATCAGTCAGAATCTAAACTCAAAGCTAGCAGATCTGCAACATGTGAATTTACTCTTTCCCATGGACCCCCCTTTGGTTTCTGATTTAACGGATGTTCTCTTTTTCTGTGTCCATAACCACCCTGCATGGTGACCCTTCCTCAGTGATGAAACAGCTGAAATTGGTTCAAACTGTTTTTGCCTATTCTCCCTGCTAGAAAAATGACCCATCGCTGTCCTTTTGTCATTATATCCTCACCCCAAGGTGAGATTGGTACACCCACGTTTGGGACTAGGGTGAAGTCTCATACTGCCCACATGAAGCTGGAAAGAAGAGCATGAATGCACAGTCCCTGCAAGGATCCACAAAGCCCACAGCATCCCCCACAGAGCACATGGGGGTGAGCCCTGAATTCTGCGTCCCCCAAATCCTGCATCCTCCCCTTATACCCATCCCCCCTACAGTGCCCAGCTGTACTCTGTATCTTGTACCCCCCTTTACACCGATTCCTGTGTCTCACACTTTCACCCCAAATCCACAGTTCTGCATCCTGCCCCCAAATTCAACATCTCCCAAACCCTACATCTTCACCCTAAATTCTCTATCACCCCATCAAGTCTGCATTCCCTCTGAATACAAGATCCCCTAAATCCCATTTTGCTCAAATCCCACAGCTTCACCCCAAATCCAACATTTCCTCAAATCCCCTCTTTCACCTCAGATCCCACACCTTCAAGTCCCACATTACTCTAAATCCTACAGCTTTGCCATAAATCCTGCATTACCCAAACCCCATAGTTTTACCCCAAGTCTCACTGTATGGGAACTGCTGGGTAAGCTCTTCCACTTATTCTCTTTTGTGATCATTGTCTGTTTGCCTTACTCTCTTGATTATATTGTAATTATAACATCTTGGTTATACAAAATTATAACATCTTGGTTATACACTCACATTGGCCAAATCCTTCAGTTTTATCTCAAATCTCTCAGTTGCATCCCAACTCCTGCAAGGCCCAAGTCCCACAGCTTCACTTCAAATACTTGGTTGCCCAAATCCTAGCTTTACTTTGAATCCTCCAGTTTGCCCCATGTTCCCTGTCACCCCAAATCCTGTTTCATCCCAAATCCCCCAGCTTTGCCCCAAGTCCCTCTTTGCCAGAAATCTCCCAGTTTCACCACAATTCCCCCACTTCCATTCCAGTCCCTGCAGGATACTGCAGCTGCTCCTGCCCAGCTGGTCAGTGATGCCCAGGCTGTTGTACACCAGGTGCTGGGGAGCAGCAATGCCAGCATGAAGATCCAGGCACCATTGTGGCTGTTGCCCTGCACCCGCAGCTCTGTTTTTGGGGGCCAGCAATCAGAAATCCACAGAATGCCCCAGAAGGTTCCCAGAACAGATAGGGAGCCCTGGTTGAGGCTGGCCAGGTGTTTCATCATTTACCACTGTGATAGGGCTCCTGATGGCCACCATCACCGGGGGCTGGAGCACCTCCTGCAGTGCCGTGGGGTTGAGGGTCAGCGCCCTGACTGTTTTCCAGCCAGTCCCCAAGCAGCAGCAGCCCACCTGACAAACTCCTCTCACTTTTTCAAGCTGTCCTTCTGTACAATGTCCTATGGAACGGAATATCCCTTTGTTCAGTGGGTGGAAAGTGTCCTCCCTTATTCCCTCTGTAGCCTGGTGCCACAAGGAGACAGAGCAAAGCGTAATTACTCGTAGCATCCAAAATACAGGTCCTAAAGTACAAAGATCACTACAGCGTTGAGCACAAACACCAGATTAGTTCCCAGTCAGCAGTTTTATCATACTGTAAGCCAAAATCACAAAGCACAGCAAAATGACAACTTCAATGCAACTCCTGGAGATGGTAAACAACTCGACTGACACATAAATATCAAGTGCTAAATGATATAGTTCCAAGAAAACACTGAAACATCTGTGCAAAAAAAAAAGCCATAATAATTAGCAATTATCAGGCTCATATCATACTGAATATTCCTTTGGCCAGTTCAGGTTAGGTATCTCAGTTCTGTCCCCTCCCAACTCCTTGCATCCCCCACAGCCCTCCTCACTGGCAGGGCAGTAGGAGAAACTGAGAAACTGAAATGTCCTTGGCTCTGTATAACACTGCTCAGCAATAGCTAAAACATCAGTCAGTTATCAATACTGTTTTTCTCCTAAAGCCCAAACACAGCATAAACACAATGAAGGAAAATCCAACGCCATCTCAGCTGAAGCCAGGTCACAGAGACAGGTGACTGGGTTACAGGATGCGCTTCATCAGCTTGCCTACAATGCCCGCTGCCTTGCCGACCACGCCGGGCAGGAAGAGCGAAGCCACGTTGACCAGGAGGCCCACAGCTGAGACGATCCACGTGCGGTTTTCAGTGCTCTGCTTCTCCTCCCTCAGCCTCTTGATCTGCAGCTGCATTTTCTCTGCATCATGCTTGTAACCCTCCTCCATCAGTGCCCGATGTTCCTGTGGGGCAGAGAGTGCTGTTGGTACCGCTGCACAACGCCACAATACAGCCGCAACGTTTGCTGGTACCATTGCACAACACCATCATCCATGGCACAGCCACAACATGCTGGTTCCACCACACAACGCTGTCACAGCGCTCACCTTCAGGTGGTGCTCCAGCAGGCGGTTTTGCTCCTTCAGCCGCAGGCGCTGCTCCTCCAGCAGTTGCTGCTCCAGCTGCCTGCAGTGCTCCTCCAGGCTGCGTTGTTGCTCCTTCAGGCACTCTGCCTCTGCCTCCCTGGCTGCTGCCTCCTTGGCTGCTGCTGCCTCCTTCTGCCACTCCATCATCATCATGCGTGCATCGACCGCATGCAGCGCCTGTGCCAGCGGCTCACGATCTCGCAGGAACACGTCCAGCACTGCATCCGCCTGATGGTACAACTATGAAACACCGCCTGCATCGCCACACCAGGCTCCATCACACCCCACTCACCTTAACACCCTTCTCAGGCCACCACTGGTACTTTTCCAGGACGTGGCACAGATCATCCTGGAACAACTGTGCTCCGCCTGGTGCTGCATAGTCCCCACACTGCAGACGGTGCTCCACGTCCTGCCACAGCTCCCGTAGCACCGCCTGACAACGCTGCTCCGATGCCTCCTCATTGCACCGGCAGAACTCCTCCTTGGCCGCCTCCAGCTCTCGCTGCACCACAAAACAGGTCTG